TGCTTTCAGTCAGAGATACTATAAACTCCGTTGATTACTAGTCTTTTGATTTCTATTGGGAATCACTTGGATTGAACCGTCTCAACCCTCAACTACCAATCGTTAAGTATTATTGTTATTCCTCATAACTCCGCATTGTAACACTTTTTAACGACGACGTCTCATAGCCGTATAACATGGCAGAACAGACTGCAGAGCAGTGTAGTCCTCGTCTAACAAGTAATTGGGTATCTCAAGAGTCAGTGCCAGTGATTAGGCAAGTTGGTGAAACAGTTGTGATAATTATTAGAAAATAAAGATAGTCTGAGCCATTACGTAATTTCAACCATTCAGTGTCAGGTAACTGATTATTGCAGTAACATTTGTGTTACTCGGTAAAATCAAAATTCACAGTCACCTGTTAAATGAAAAAATAGGAGTTAAAGAGAAAAATGAAATGTAACGTAACAGTTAAAACAAGGTGCTATAGCATCTGCGTCACTGAGATCGTTTTCTCAGGTGTATCAATCTGAAGTCTTGAAAAATCAATTTTAGCTGTCACACAGATACTAACCTAGAAAACTAAATTTTTTATATGATCCAGACTAACAGTGAAGGTTTTGAACAATCAGATAGTGACTGTCAAATCGTATTATTATTTTTCCCTTGGGTTCCTAGTGTAACATAGGGCTTCACTAGCATGCCTCCATTCCACTCCCTTCTCTGTAGTCTTTTCAACCTGGCTCCACCAGTGCCCACAAGCTTTCATTTCTTCATCATACCATCTCCTCCATGTCACCCTCACCTCAGACACCCAACTCGTCGTCTCCCCTTTGCATTCCACTCGACGGCCTGGCCTGGTGCGGGATCTCCCCAATCGGCCTTCTCAGTGCATGCCCAGTCCAATCCATCTCCACTTCCTTCCAGTGCATATTTGTTGGGTGATAGGTTCTTGGTTAGTTCATTGCCAGAGTTCCTTGTTGCTTATTCTTTATGGTCATCCATCTAATCTTTAGTGTCAGTATCGAGTGAGCGTAGGCGGCAGGTGTTGATGAATGTCTGTAGTTTGTTGGGAGTGATTTTAGTAACATGCCAATTCAGTCATCATACTCTAAGTCATGAATCGGAACACCGTCGAAATACCTTTTTAGAGTAATGATTTCACTCTTGCCATATACCGAGAATATTTTCGCCTTCATTGTTTATATTTTTTTTTAACAGAATTCTCTAAATAATATACAGAAGAATTTTCCGCTGCAATTTTTGATTGTACATAATAGGAAGGAAAATTTAGGCATCACTTTCTGTACAATATACATGACATAAACATCTAGAGAATTTTCTCTGAAAAGCCAAATCAGTTTGGGGAAAGTGTCAAATTATGTTCACAAAGGATGCTAACAGTCCCCTCCCTGGTATATAAATTTACTTCAAGATAAAGACAAAAAAATAATAACAGATATAAGATATGGAATCGTAATAAACATATGTGAAACCAATCTGTAGCCTAGACATAACTATTATTTTTTCTTCTTTCGAATCAGACGTTTTGGCCAAATGCCACAATTTTATACACATGCAGAGATATAAAAAAAAATAAGGTGAGGAGAATACAATCTGTTGACCAATACAATCAGATTTTCACCTCCGATTAAATACAATAAACTTGACTAAATGCTTTCTTTGTGCAATATATGTGAACTAACTACAATATCCATCATCATGAAAGTTAACTTTACACAAGCTATTTTTCCTAGAACAATTAACCACCACCACTAATAATGAAATGATGACTTCACTGGATTAGGTTTCACTGTTAAATGGTATGAGGAAAGTAACAGAAATTATTTTATGGAATAAACAGCAATCAGTTGGTTTCACTTACTTAGCTTTAATCCTGCACTAATTTCATCTATAGTTATATATTTTCAACACAAACTTATGTGCCAGTATAGAGTATATGAAAGAGTCTGATTCAGAAAGATTGGAATAACAAGTGAACCTGGATAATCTACTTCTTGTTAAAACAATATCATACAAGACGTGAAACATAACAGAAGTAAAAAACACTGCAGATCACTAAGAATGATTCACAAATTGACGATACTAAAACGACTATAATTTATGAAGGAATCCGTACATCATTATAGATGACAGACAGAATCAACATAGAACATCGCAGACAAAAGTTGCCACATTTTACAGTAGTACACAAAGAACAGGTGGATAGAAAATAATTGTGTGAGAGAACAAGCAGTTTGAAGATAAATGTTAGTGTGAATATTCAAGCTTTAGATGTCAAGGAGTGAATACATCTGCGCAACCGCAACCGGTTCTCAGGCATGTCACCAATAGTCCTCAACTACTCATTGATTCCTATTGTCTCAGGGACCCCAACTAGGAAGTCTACATCTCCCCACATGCCTCAGACCAACAGTACTAGACTTCGTCGACTGGTGGCATGTCTTGGTGTCGGCACCCTGAACCCTCTTCCAACCTAGTCCAACTTCCTCTAGCACAGCACATCGAAGTAGGTGGTGGATCGTCATGCGTAACACATATCCAAGTCAGCTCACCCGATAAATGCTAACAACCTTATCAATCGACTTATCTATCTTGCCTAGTACCCTTCACCTCACCTGGACATTACTCACACAATGATTTTACCAAACTCAAGCAACGCTACGAAAACATCAATGGAAAGTGATCAGTTTCTTAACAACTAGGACGATGCACAGACAGAAGATAACAGCACTTAGAATGCGTGTACAATTTACCAGTTATCCTTAAATTGCACAACTCATTTTCACAATTTTAATAATTAAGTATTTTTCTAATCATATTCATGTATGCTGTTAATTAGGTCCCCCCTCCTCCTCCCTCAATGGCCCACATGTTGGAGCTTAGGGAGAGGGATTGTCCCAGATACATTGCAAATGAGCTTAACTTCAGAAGAGCAAAACATCCACCTTTAGTTCACTCTCTTTTGATTAGCAAGATCTATAGGTTAACGTCAGCGGTTCTCAAATGTTCATATTCCACAGTATTATAATATTTCAATATTTAGAAGATGGAAAAGGGCCACGATTTTCACTTTTTTTAAACGAAAAAATTACTCACTTTATTATTATTATTATTATTATTATTATTATTATTATTATTATTATTATTATTATTATTATAACAGGATTATAGTAACGTTAAGAAACAAACAAGACTGCATGAACTAGCGTCATAACCAGATTGGAATCAATGTTCTCACATTCAAGATTATTTCTCCAACAAAGAGAAATGAATAACTTTCACATTCTTTTTTTCCATGAAAACGATAAGAAGCATTCTTAGTGTACCAAATAAGACGTACAACCATCACAATAGGTATTTTCTTCCATTTTTATAGTCTAGATAAGTTGTAGTAAGACTGACAGAATTCTAGTTGATTGAACGACAGACAAAACACAGGATGAATATATAACTAATTCTGTAACTAACCTCGCCTGGTTAACTAGTTCACTAGTTACTAGCCGGTCCTAAGCCCTGGTAAAGAGCGAAGGTTGGGCATAGGGCTAGCGACCTTACCCCGTAAAATAAACCCAACCTCTAAAGAAACTTCACAGTACAAACAAAATTATCCCGCGCTGGAATCGGAGAGGCGAAATGACGCCACTCGGTGAAAGCCTTCGAGGAGCCAATTGGCCGATGTGTCTTTTCTCGATGAAGGCGAAAGTTAACATGGGGACATGGAATGAACCTAGCAAGGCAGCCCAGACTGCAAACGAGATGAGAAGGTATCACATTAAAGTAGCCTCCTTCATCTATCTAGGAAGCACTGTTTCAACTACAGGCAGCACAGGCACAGACGAGGATGTCAAAGTCACAATCGGAAACACAGCAAGACAGGCGTTCATTAACCTGAAACCAGTGTGGAGATCTTCTGCACTCAGCATAAAGCGTAAACAAGATCCGGATTTTCAAAACCAATTCAGTCAAGTCAGTGCTCCTGTATGGCTCAGAGACTTGGCGCGTTACGAAAGGGATTCCCAACAAACTACAGACATTCATCAACAACTGTCTACGCTTGCTCCTTACTGAAGATCAGATGGCCAGAAAGAATAAGCAACAAGGAACTCTGGGAACGAACTAACCAAGAACCTATCACCCAACAAATATGCACTGGAAGGAAGTGGAGATGGATTGGGCATACACTGACAAGGCCGACTGGGGAGACTACGCGTCAGGCCAGTCACTCGAGTGGAACCCAGATGGGAAGCAACGAGTTGGGCGTCTCAGCCGAGGGTGACATGGAGGAGATCGTGAGAGGAGGAAATGAGAGGTTGTGGGCTGTCGTGGAGCCAGGTTGAAAAGATTTCAGAGAAGAGAGTGGAATGGAGACGTGCCACTGAAGCCCTATGTTCCATTAGGAACCCAAGGGACAAAAAGTAATAATAATAATTCTGTAACTAGATAGAAATATCATCATCGTCAAAATCGACATAGAACCAGACATTATTGTGTGATGGTCCAAGTTGTTACACCCTAACTCATATCACCACATCAAGGAGACAATGCAACAACAAGACAATAAAATAGGTGAAGAAAGAAAGGAAAATCGGTAAAGAGAAGTAAAAGAGAGGTATGAGGAATGAGAAGATGCTGAATTCAGTATAGCGGCTAAGATGAAGATACATCTGTGTTAGCGATATCGATTCTAAGACATATCACCTAGAGTCAGTCTCTAACCACTAGTTTCTCTTGTCCCGTGAATTCCAACCGGCTAGTTTGCATTTCCCAACATGGCTCAAATCAACAGTCAATGACTTCATGCAGTGATATCATATTTAGTCTAGTTGTCTCAAGCTCTTCTGCCGCCTGAATCTACTACAACTAATATTGGGCAGCAAGACATGAGCAACACATGTCGCAGACATTTGAGTCGATGAAGTTTTACAAAAGTACAATCAAACGAAAAGGAAAAAAGATTTCATCATTTAAAACAAGTCAAAAACATCGACACAACTAACCTTAATTTCTCCTGTTGATTTATCGAATGCTACATGAAGGTTATGTGTAACTTCAGTTGGACCAGAAATTTGTGGTTCAGTTTTCTCTGATCGACCAAATTTAGGAAATCGAAACATTTTCACTAAAAACAAACGACATTTTTATGTGAATTATTAACAGGTAGATAGCTGGCATTTATTGCCTATACATATATATATATATATATATATATATATATATATATATATATATATATATAATCGATTAAAATAAAAGGGATAATTATTCACAAGATGTTTGTAACATTTAGTAGACGCATAAATACCCATCAGAGCTAAGACATAGAATATTGACAATGGTGTATATAAACAAAACTATTTGTTCAAATGGGTTTGAAATAAGAAAGAGGAATATGAGAATGCATGGAAATAGTATAGTAGCGTCTTATCAATACAATTGACAAAATAATGCATACAATCTTTGAAGACTTGAGTTGTTTTTTTTACTGAACTTTTCTGAATACTTGTTGAATTCCATTAGAACACCATCCAAACTTTTTCAATCAGTATTTTAATTTAGATGACATAGTTTAATTACATATAAAACAATTCAAATATTCACAGTTGGAAGGAAAGTGTAAACCATTTTATACTACTGAAACTCAACACTACACAACAACTGGTATCCGTTGCACATAAAGTGGTTCTCGTGCTCCAATGGTCTAGGAGATAACATTTTGGCGTTTGGAGCAATGGGTATCAGGTTAGAGTCTTATTGGAGTGCAGACATATCCAGTGGATTAATCCCAAACAGGACGAAACGCACGACCTGAATTTCACTACCAGCCACCAAGATAAATACAGCATCATGAATGTTCGACAACATCGAGACATTTGCATAGCAACTCATTTACCAATAGAGGTTGAGCAATTCGACCATGTATAGCATCAGGAAATTACAAGTATCAAACAAGAATGAATATTTATTGGTGACCTCAAAAATCATATAATTCGTAAAAAGATATATTTACGTTTATTTGTGTTGACATTGGGGATAATTGGATTAAGGAGATGAAACAATTCTGTCATTGTATGTGTATGTGAGACAGTGTTTCCCTTCATTTGAATTCAACCTTCCCCCTCCCCCTTCAAAATGTGGATTATTTGTAAATCAGTAGAAACTGGTGGAACTATGGCTCAGTAGTTAGTTTAGGGAGATGGGTTTGAACCCCGCTTCAGGTAGTATCACTAGCCTTCATACAATAGATGTAGCTTATTTCCTAATGCATGAATGTGTACAAGGTGACTGAGTGCATTTCATTCGTCGTTCTGCAGAAACCATTTAAAGTGAATTCTTCATTTCCCTACAGATTGTTTGGCGAAATAAACCATTTGCTATGGAAACAAAGGTTGGAATATAAAAAAGTGCATTATGCATGCATATTTAATGATCGATTATTACAAATACAAAGTCGGCATAGTCTAATAGTTGTGGAGTGATATGGATGCATTATGGTAGGTTTTTTCATGTCATGCTTTTATATACACATTTTCTCGTAATACTCTCATTACACAGCGAATGGTCAGGCAACTGAGGAGTAAACAACTTTATATTGTCTAGTCCTGAATGCTGACTGAATTCGATCGATCGTTTCGTTATGTGGTCACCGAACGACGAGACTCGGAAGTACAGTGCGCTTTGATTGACGTCAGATGATTGGAGGTAATCAGTAGGAAGCAATGCATCTACGTTCCATGCCTACCGCCTTTCGTCAAGCAAGGTGTGTCTGCAACCACCTTCAGGGAACTGATGCCCCCTGTGAGATTTGAACTCATGTCACCCTGTACTGCAGTCCGAGATGTTAGAAATAAGTATGAAGTCAAGAAAGTGACTACTTATATCGGTGGATCCCTTGGATTTTTTATATTATAAATTTAATAAGCAAAGTGGTATAAGCAGCGAATGCATCAAAATTTGCAAAGCGTGTTACACTGAGCTTATTCAGCGTTTGCTTATATCTTTCTCACTAATTCCAGACAGTGAAACACCGTGTTACAATTCTGGAGAATTGTCATGCATGAAAACCTCAATCGTCACATCATGCGACTGCATAACACAAATGGATTGTTTTTAAAATAACTTAAAAGATGTAGACACATCAATTTAATCGAATGCATACAGTTTTGTGAGATAACTTTTTACGGATGCCTATATCCCTTATATTCCATACTTACAGTTTGCGTATATTTGAACTGTTTTACTTCATCCGCTTTTTACCACGCATGGGTTATATTTCATATAACCCGCTAGCGTTCTAATTGGCTCCTGTCTTTTTAATTATTATTATTATTATTAGTCCCTTGGGTTCCGAGTGGAACATAGGGCTTCAGTAGCACGCCTCCAGTGACCTCTGTTCTCTGAGATCTTTTGAACCTGGTTCCACGACAGCCCAGAAGCTCTCATTTCCTCCTCGCATGACCTCCTCCATGTCACCCTCGGACGTCCAACTCGTCGCTTCCCATAGGGATTCCACTCGAGGGCCTGACGCGTGATGTCCTCAGTCGGCCTTCTCAGTGCATGCCCAATCCATCTCCACTTCTTCCTGCATATTTGTTGCGTGATAGGTTCTTGGTTGCTTCGTTCCCAGAGTTCCTTGTTGCTTATTTTTTCTGGCCATCTGATCTTCAGCAACGAGCGTAAGCAGTTGTTGATGAATGTCTGTAGTTTATTGGAAATACCTTTCGTGGCGCGCCAAGTCTCTGAGCCATACAAGAGCACTGACTTGACGTTGGTGTTGAAAATCCGTATCTTGTTCCGCATGCTGAGTGCAGAAGATCTCCACACTGGTTTCAGGCTAATGAACGCCTGTCTTTTTAAATGTACTAATTATTACTTGCCTTTCAAGGTTACTGTAAGCTCTATAAATAGGGTCCATTTTCACCAATACTATAAACTCAGTTGATTACTAGTCTTTTGATTTCTCTTAGTGAATTACTCAGGTTGAATTGTCTGAACTTTCAACTATTAATCGTTAAGTATTTTCGTTCGTTCTCACAACTTCGCATCATAATACAACTCCATTAACATACACAATACTGCAAGCTTCAAAACTAATGTTTTTATGATCAGGGCATATAGTATCTTCAAAGTCTTATCACAGTTTATTTTTACTTAAAGGGTTAATATATATAACACTGAAAATTAGATTTGCTTTCATAAAAAGAAGCTGATTGGTCATACAATGATTCTAAAGGTCACCTAAATAACCATTGAAATACCCAATTACGTATCATCAATTAATAAAAATTTAACCTTCCTGAATCGGCTATTTCAGTCATTGCTACGATGGCCTTTAAAGAGTCACACTCATAGCCGTACATTAAAATGCTCACAGCATCACATCAAAAATTGACCTAGATAACTGCTTCTTTTAAAATAAATACCATACCATGATAATAAAAGACTGGAAAGAAAAAAAACTGGAAAGTATGAAAGTATGAATCATTCACCCAAAACATAAACACACATACATACACATACATGTCTTCAACATGAATAAACAAGTAAGGTATAGAGAAAGAGGGTAAAGAGAATAACATGTGCAAACTATTGAAAATGAAAAGTGTATACATTATTCAGACAGATAAGCTAATACTATGTACACTGTGTGCATTTACTATCAAGAGCCAGCAGTGAATTATTGACAAGCTATTCATGCGTCAAATAATGGTATGGTAGAAAACTAAGCATTCATTTATTTTTAAGGTAGTATTCACCATGGACCGTCATCAGTTGAAGAATTAAACTATTGAAAACTCGGGAGGATTGGATAGCTGTTTCGTCCTAGTATAAAGACACTTCAACAATACACACCTATGACCCCACCTCACCATGGATTGAACTCAGAACCTTCAAGTTTCACGGTGAATCCATCAACTATACAGTCACTGGGTCGGAGTTCAATGGTTCATAGTTTCTTTTTGCTTCTGTCAATTCACGATTATTGATTTATTCAACTTGAAGGATAGATTTAATGGCATAGAAATTGATAAACTTCAAAATAGCATTCATTTTGATATTCATACAGAATATAAGGATCAGTGAGATTTATTAAGTAAAGTTCAACGATTGCAGAGGAGTACTCATCTAGTGTCACTCAACAATTAGGGATTTCAACCTACAGGACAATCATCTCCATAGTTGAGTGATATTAGACCAGATCATACAAAAATAATGCAGGTTGACATGTAGTCAGCTATTATTATTATTTGTCCCTTGGGTTCCTAATAGAACAGAGCTTCAGTAGCACGTCTCCATTCCACTCTCTTCTCTGAAATCTTTTCAACCTGGCTCCACGACAGCCCACAACCTCTCATTTCCTCCTCTCACGATCTCCTCCATGTCACCCTCGGCTGAGACGCCCAACTCGTTGCTTCCCATCTGGGTTCCACTCGAGTGACTGGCCTGACGCGTAGTCTCCCCAGTCGGCCTTGTCAGTGTATGCCCAATCCATCTCCACTTCCTTCCAGTGCATATTTGTTGGGTGATAGGTTCTTGGTTAGTTCGTTCCCAGAGTTCCTTGTTGCTTATTCTTTCTGGCCATCTGAGCTTATATAGTCAGCTAGCTATAGATTAATTCTTGTTATGGTGAGTAATACGTAAAAATTGGATTACATCTAAAAACTACTGTAGCAATGGCTAAAATAATCAATTAGGTTTCTTTATTTGGCCTAGAAACGCGGATTTTCATAAAATAATAAAGTCTAAGGGGTTATTTCAGTTGTTGTTGTTACAGTGGTCTTTACAGCTGCTCAAAAACTGTCCAACAGATGACTTTTGTTTGAGCATAAAATAGAAGTTATTCAGAATTTCTCGATATATTCATAACTACGATTAACTAGATACAACTAGTTATTTGTTAATAGATGTGTATTATACTGGGTGATGATTGAAGGTGAGATAAAAATCTGGACCGCGGCAGGATTCGTACCAGCGACCACCAGATTCCCAGCTAGATGCTTTACCAACTGAGCTACAAGGTCCGACTGCTGATCACATTTCTATTCCACTTCAATCACAAGGCGGAGTTTTGCCCAACTACCATGTGAATTCAGGACGCGTTACTATCGCTTGATCGTATTCACACTGGTTGTCTAGTCAGGACTTCTCATCCCAATCCGAATCTAACTGAATCAGAGGGAGAGAGCATCATATTGATTATCACTTGACTATCTGAGATAGCCATAGTTTAGCAGACGAGTATTTATACTGGGTGATGATTAAAGGTGAGATGAAAATCTGGACCACGGCCGGATTGGAACCAGCGACCACCGGGTTACCGGCCCGGTGATCTACCAACTGAGCATTACTTTGAGGGTATTTGTGCATACCTGAATTCGACAGTTCAGAAGGTCATGAAGGTATTCCATAGCATATAGAATTCATTCATTCATTTACAAGTATTTATCAAGCCTTACTAAATGAACCCTATTTGACTACAGTAGATTACAAATTCAAAGAAATGGTTTGTTAAAAGTGTACTTCATAGCTGACTTATGTTAAAGATCTGATTGTCCACCTTGTGAACGAAATTAATTTCGTCAGATTCTCATACACTATTAACTGCTTCAGAAAAACTGTATGAAGTTATTACTATTTATCGATATACTTGTAGCTCTTCGTTGTTCTATTGGATAGAATTGTTCGACCTTTATTGGTATACGGGCTCCTCTACACGGATGCCTCGATATTGCCTGAATGCTAATTTGGTTGGTTGTGGCTAGCAGAGGACGCGCATTTCATCCTATTTGGGACTCGTTACCTCAGTGTTCCTGCACCCCAGTGAGTGATGTTGTTCCCATTGAGACGAGTCCCAAATAGGACGAAACGCGCGTCCTCTGCTAGCCACAACCAACCAAATTACCATAATTAACTGTATGAAGTGTTATAACTGGCGGGAAAAAAGATTTGAAATTGGACTAGTCATATTTTATCCAAATCGTCAACTAACTGTATTACCTGTAAATCTAACAGGAAGGAAAATAAAAAGTTAGTAAAACAGTTGACAATATCTCGTTTCGTGTTCAGTTCAGTTGATGATATGTTTTCAGAAAGTGCAGAACAAGGAGAGTCACAGGTATGTGACAGTGTTAGTTATATTTTTCAGTTACCAAAATCAATGAAGTCAAACAAGTTAAAGCAATTTATTCGCTGTTATAATATAAAGGCAGACAAATATCGGATTCAAGCGATTAGAAACGGTAATTGAGTTTAAACTGGCATAGTTTCTACACAATATTACTCACTACACCTTCGAAGCTGTGGTTCATGATTCCGATATTCAACTTCAGCCAAGGGGAAAGGTTCGAACCCCATTGCAGTTACCATACTTTGGATAGATGGCGAGTATGAATATAGATAGAAAGCAGATGTTTTTAATCAAAGAAACCATAATATACAACTAATTTCACCATAACAGAATTGGAGTTAAACGAAAAAGACCGCCTTCTTTCGCTGCTGAAATCCCAATACACTGTATCACAGAACATCAGTAACGTGATATACTCTCGTTGCACATGACTTCAATTATATGAAAGCACAGCAGGTAAAACATATAAAGTTCCCCGAATACATACATATCAGATGAAAATTGATGTCCAATAAGTGGAAATAGTCTTCACACAACACACACACACAGAAGTCAATATCCCTGCCAAAAAATCAAAGCAAATACTGCAAACTTAAAAGCCAATACAGACTAGAAAAGTAGGAAGGAATCGAAATCGAAAAAAAATTCAATCGCCAGAAAAAATAAACCTATTCTATCAAGTTATTTATGCTTAGATTAAGAAAGTCGGAAAAACAAAACGTGTGAATTAAAAGACAGAAGAAACTAAAACATATGGTAATCAGTATTTGAAATGAATAATAGTCAGACTAAAACTAACAAAGTTGCTATACCAATGAGTGTACCGAAATTTTTTTTGAAATAAATAAATCAGCTTCTCACCTATCCTTTAATGAATCTAGAATATTACGCTGAAATATGAAGCGAAGGCTGAAACCACTAACTAACTCATTGATAAACTATTATCAAGAGACCTAATGCATCAAACGCAAACGGAAACATGAGAAAAAGAAATCAGATCTTCAATGAGTTCACACGGACTGAGAGTGACTTTAAAGGCCACTCGAACAACTATTTATTGATATATTTGTAATTTTTCGTTATTTTATTAGATCGAATTGTTCAACCTCTATTGGCCTATGGGCTCCTCTATGCGGAACGCCTTGATATTGCTTGAATCTTAATTATGATAATTTTGTTGACTGTAACGTTTGAAGCGATGGGTACTAAGTTCGAGTCTCAGTGAGAACAACATCACTCACTGCGGTGCAGGAAAATCGAGCATCCTGATTTCCTCTGTAAGCCACAACCAACCAAATCATCCTAACAAACGCCAAAATAACCAATCAGATCGAAGTATTTCGACTGAGAAGACGATTTTTCACGGAATAAAGAAACGTGATTCGTTGTTTCATCAGTGGTTAGAGTGGCCTTTTAAAGTCACTCCTGACTGCTTCAGAAAAGATTTTAAAAATCGCCTTTATATATATATATATATATATATATATATATATATATATATATAATTTCTGACCTTGTCCAGAAATCAGACCACTTATTTATCAAAACAAACAACCAAACAAAATAAGCGTTTACGGTAAGGTTACAGACATTCTAGCAATGAAATTTCGTTAGAAAGTGAGTTAACAGTAACTTCTATAAGATGGTAGACTGTGATATGATGAGTAAATTTTTCACATCTTACTCACCCTTCTTTTTTTTCTTCTTTTCTTCTTTCCCTGGTGGAGTTGGTAAAGGTTTTGATGGAGGCAAAACAGTTTTATCCTTTTTTCGTCTAAAGAGAGTTAGAATAACCATTTATTATTAATATATACAACCTGAAAATTGATAATTGTTCTGAATTAATTTATACTTTAACAGATAATAATAGCAGTCGTTATAACTTCCTAATTCCAATTTATGACACACATTTGTAATAAGTACAGTAGGCATGCTGTTTAACTATTCAAAGTATGTGTTTATTAATTGAATGAATACAACTTGATGCTGACTAATACATAACAATTACAGCTTGGAATAACCTTCGAAAAAAATAAGAAGACTGATGAGGACATATTCTTTTGTTATTGGTGTACTTTTGTCCTGTTATTTGTCCATTTTGTCTGGTAATACGGCTGTCAGGCATGATTGTTAAAAATAGGAGACATGAAGTGACTATACGGGTTTGGTCACAGATGTCTTCATAACATTGTTCGGGCTTAGTAGAATCATCAAATGAGCAATGTTGAGGTCAGGTAAAGCGTAATAGGCAAGTTAGGCAAGTCAACTGATGAGGTTAAACTTCATCTGCTGAGATAGCCTGGATATATGTTGCGTATGTCGATCCATCGCCTACTTTGACGTGCCACGTCAGGGGAAGTTGCATTATTTCGGAAGAGGGTTCAGGGTGACCAGGCCTAGGCCAAAGCGTGGAACCGGTAGATGAAGTTACTGATTATTGACCTGAGTCGTGGAAGGAGACGCAGACTCCTTGGTTGGGGTCCCTGAGACGAAAGGAATCGGTGGTTGAAGACTGTTGGTGACATAACTGAAAGTCGGTTGCAGTAGCACAGATGTATTCACTCCCTGGCATCTAAAGCTTGAATATTCGCACTAACTGTTTTCTTCAAACTGTTTATCCCCCCCCCCCGCACCTTTTCGTTCACTTTGATATTACTCTTATTTTATCCACCTGTTCTTTGTGTACTGGATAAGCTGATGCACCTGCGTGCGGGGTTCTACGTTGATTTTGTGTCACTCTATCAAGTACTTCTTTTAAAAGAGGATAGTGCAACTGTGTTTTACGACGTTACGTGCCTTCACAGCATGAATCTTATGGAGAGACATCTGATCAAAACGCTGCTAATTCGAAGTTTGGAACGCCTAACAACCAAGTGTTTCTTAAACTGGTCTTTCGTCAAAATGCCTTAAGTGTATTAGTTTGTTTCAGTTTTATCATGAGACAAGCAGAAACTTTTAGGAACAGCGATTTACCAATTGTAAAGTAGAGTATTTGCCAAAAAAGTGTCGCCCTGAGGAAAATAAAATACGTGGCTGCTACAGAACACATTAGCAAAAGGTGACAAAACCAAAACATGACTGTGGATTTTAAAAAGGTAGCAAAATTTAGCAATACAATATTCTGTTGTTTTAATGACTAATGGAAGCTAAACGTTGAGATGTGGTTGCTGTTCCAGGGATTTCAAAACACAAGTGGATTAGCTAAGTCTGGCAGAAAGGTACTCAGGTGGCACTTTCGGAGTCCCGAACGAACGAACAGATAACGGTGATCGCCTACTACAACTGTGCTCAAATAACCATTTGTTTCTAGCTAGTACAAACTTCAGACATAAAGAAAGACATTGTGTGACGAGGCCCCCATCCAGTTCAACTAAACGAGGGCATGCCTACGTCTCAGTGGACTTAAAAAACTTTAGCAACAAGACCATTACGAGTGCAGCTTGACAATGAGAGCACTAAGGTCGCTTTCAATGAGAAACTGACTAGGCAGTTATCCGAACAGCACACTATCACTCATTCATAAGAGGCTTCGAGTCATCTCCAGTCTGCTGTAAAAACAAAGTTGAAGACAGTAGCCGACCCTAAAACAGTGAACAAAAGAGCCCGTGGATATCAACAGCTTCTTCCGAACTAATGGATGCGCGTGAACACATCCCTGCAGGCTCTGAGTACAATGAAGAGCGAGCGCAACTTAAAAGTAGACTGATGAAAAGTCTACACAACGATCGTGAACCGTGGTGGGTAGTGAAGGCTAAAGAGATAGAAAAGGCAGCAGCGATAGGTAACAGTAAGCAATTATTTAGACTGGGAGAAAAAGGTCAATGTTTAGTGAGATTATAGCGGAAAAGGGTGGGTCTGCGATTCACTCGCAGAAAAGACGACTGTAACGATGGGCAGAACACTTTGAGGAACAGTTTAACTGGCCTCTAATCACCACTGCTTGCCCTCTATCCAGTTGAATCCTGAATGGAACATAGAGATAGGCCCCCAACACTAGAAGAAGTTGAGAAAGCGGTAGGTAGCCTGAAACGGGGAAGGGCAGCAGGACCAGACGGACTACCTGCTGAGGTATACAACAATGGTGGTAGAGTTCTCTTAGTCAGGCTAACGGAAGTGTTAGCCAGTATATGGGAATCAAATACGATCCCCTCTGACTGGTCTAAGTCACTGATTATCCCAGTCTTCAAGAAAGGCGAGGAGTCCTCTTGTGATAACCACAGACGAATCAGCCTGACGAAATTAGTGTCCAAGATTCCAGGTTCTATTCTCCGACGCCTGAGTGGAGCTCGGGAACAGCAGACACGAGAAAACCAAGTAGGCTTCAGATACGGCCGTGGGTGTATCGACCAAATATTCACACTGCGCCAGGTTCTGGAACACACACACGCTTACCAACACCCGACAATAGCTGTATTTCTCGACCTGAAGGCGGCATTCGACTCCATTGATCGATAAGTATTATGGCAATATCTCTCACTTAAAGGCGTCCCGAGTAAGTACATCACCTTATTGAACGCTCTCTACTCAAACACCTGTGGGCGTCTTAGAGCCTATGGTGAGTTGTCAGATAAACTGTGTACATCGAGTGTTCATTTAGAATGCCTACTCTCTATATTCCTATTCAATTTTATCATAGATGTTTTTATGGAGGTCTCCATCTCGACATCTGACTACACAAAGATTGACCTAATCACAGGAGAATTTTCGTTAGACCTAGAATATGCAGATGATATAGTCCTGTTAGGTGAAGACGCTGACGAGGTGCAGAGTCTCCTGAACACTTTGAGTGGGGATTTGAGAATGTTTGGGATGCGGTTTTCACCACCCAAATGCAAATTTCTGCTCCAGGACTGGTCTTTGGTGGTCCCCCGACTAACAATAGAGAGTGTGAAGTGGTTGAATGTGTCGACCACTTCACTACTTACCTGGGAAGTAGGATCAACCCTGGTGGGTTAGTTACCGATGAAATCTCTGCACGGATACAAAAGGCTCGATTGGCTTTTGCCAATTTACGCCACCTATGGCGCCGCCGTGATATTCGTTTGTCTATTAAGGGTCGCGTGTACTGCACAGTAGTCCGCTCTGTTCTACCGTATGGCTGTGAAACATGGGCACTAAGGGTAGAGGATATGAGAAGGTCTTAGGTATTTGGTCATCGTTGCCTTTGTAGCATAGACCATGTGTCGTGATGTCACCACGTCAGGCGTAGAGTTTTAGGGAGGAGAGGTAAATCAGCTGATGCGATTGCAAACGTTCATCGACTAAGATGGCTGGTACATGTCTTACGACGTATGTCCAGCCATTGTCTGCCTCGTTGCACAATGTTAGCCAAAGTAGGTTTAGGCTGGAAAAACGCTCTGGAAGGTCAGACTAAAACATGGCATCAATGTATGAAGTCTTTGACTATCCGTTCGAATCATGTGAGGCGATGAAAACTAGCCGTTTAAGATCTGCAGGACAATAGAAACCAGTGGTTGAAGACTCTAGGTGATATGGCTAACAACCGATGTCAGTAACGCATATGCATATGCGCACTATCCTCATCTCAACCGTTATACTTAATCACATCATTTTCTCATTCCTCTCTTTTATCACATCCTAATTCTTTTGACCGACTTCTTTTTCTTTCTTCACCTTCCATTTTATCGCCTTGTTACTTGATGCTGGTATGAGGTGTAGCAACTTGAACCGTTACGCAGTAATGCCTGGTCGTGTGTTGATTTTCATGATTTGATGATGAATGTTTAAAAAAAGAATGCGGGAAAGGAAGAAATAAGATTTTACCAAACAACTCATATGAAGCTAAATGAACAAGACATCTTGTAACGGTGTGAAGTGAATAGAATAACAACACCAAATATCAGCGCTAATATAGGGCTACTTTATAGAGGTTGTGAACGAAAACTGTGTTCATTTAAAAATATCAAGATCTGATCATCATCATCATCATTATCAACATAGGACCAGGCATTACTGCGTAACGGTCCGAGTTGCCACACCTCATATCAGCACATCAAGTAAAAAGGTAGTGAGGTGAAGGATGAAGATAAGTGAATGCAGTCAAAAGAAATATAAAGTATGAGAAGAAAGGAAAGAGGAGTGACAAAATAGTGAGATTCGGTATAGCGTTGTTAAGATGAGGATAATGTGTGTATACATCTGCGCCACTGACTTCGGTTCTGAGCCATATCACCTAGGGTCTCCAACCACTGGTTCCTCTTGTCCCGTGGACCCCAACCACCTAGTCTGCATCGTCCTACATGGCTTAAACCAACAGTCAGAGACTTCATACATTGGTGCCATGTTTTAGTCTGGCCACCTCGGGCCTTTTTCCAGCCTGAACCCACCTCAGCCAACATTGTGTGACGAGGCAATCGGTGACTAGGCATACGTAGTACGTGTCCCAACCATCTCAGTCGATGAAGGTTCACAACCTCGTCGACTGACTTACCTCTTCTCCCTAAAACTCTACACCTAACTTCTGCATTACTCACATGGTGACACCACGGAATACGTCCTATACTACGAAGGCAACGGTGGTCAAATACCTGAAACCTTTTTGTATCCTCCACTTTCAATGGCCATGTTTCACAGCCATACAGTAGAACAGAGCGGACTGCTGTGCAGTACACGCGACCCTTAATAGACAAACGAATATCACGGCGGCGCCATAGGTGGCGCAAATTGGCAAAAGCCAATCGAGCCTTTTGTATCCGTGCAGAAATCTCATCGGCAACTAACCCACCGGGTTGATCCTACTTCCCAGGTAAGTGA